TAGGTGAGCCTTGAGGAGAGAGGGAGGACTAGATTCCTCAGTCTTGCTAACTGAAAGGGTCTGAAGTAGGTGGCTGTTCTTGGCCCCACCTGTTGCCATTACCACTGGCTTCACTGTCACCACTGTCATACTGCCAATGCCTGATGTCACCTGTTGGCTCAGCTGGCCTTTCATAGGTGAAACCACTACTTTGACTGGACTGGTGGTGGGAGCCATGGCACTCTTACCTGGTAGGGCCACTAACCGAAAAGTTGTCCCCGGGGGAAGATTGAGAGGAGTGCTCACTTGTCCCTGGCTTGTGCTAGGTTTCAGTGTGACCAATTTAGCACTGGTGGTTGTTGCCGCCACAGTAGTTGTGCTTGTCACGGTCGGCTGACTGCTACTTGAGGACGATGTAGAAATAGTACAGCACGAATCATTCGGTGCTGGTGAAGAAGCTACTTTATCAACTGCTGGTGGAGAGGCTACCTGGGTTGATGAAGGCTGTGATGGGGCACTAGAGGTCTGTGGTCTTGTTAGAGTAAGTGCAAGTAATGAAGGCTTGGATGACGATAAAATGGATGTAGTACTCGAACTTGTTGTCTTTGGAGTGTCAGGCACTGACGGAATTGAATGAACAGTAGTAATGGGGGTAAAGGTGGAACTGAATGTGGAAACAGGTGTACTTGTAACTGTAGTACAAGTAGTATTGCTTGTAACTGTAAGACTAGGAGTGTCTGGGGTGTAAGAGCTAGGACTACTGGAGGTGGGAGACGTAGGTGAAGTTGGGGTAGAAGTTGGAGTAGATGGTGTAGACACACTTAGTGTGGGGACAGTAAAAGTGGTGGACAGCACAGTTGAAGTTGTATTAGTTGTATTAGTGAGAGTCAAGAGATTTGCAGTAGAAGAACTGCTTGATGTAGGAGTAACATCTGCAGTGCTTGAGGACGTCTGAGTTGGAAGTGTTGATACAGATGAGGGAGGAGTGGGAGATGAACTATTATTTACTGATGACTCTGATGAAGCTTGTGACACAGCAGGCACAGTGTCTGTTGTCACAGGCTCTGTCTTCACAGATACAGGCAAGGACGTTTGGGGTGACTTCACGGGACTTGGCTGAGAAACTGTGAGTGAAGCAGGTGAAGAGATGGACGAACATGTGGATGAAAAACTTGAGACTGGCACAAGTGGTGTAGAGCCTGATGGCAACGAAGTACTACAAGAAGTGGAAGGGTCTGGGAATGATGACAAGTTCGTCTCACATCCCTTAGACTCATCATCTGCTTGGCCTGGAGTCACAGACTCAATTGATTCATTTTTTATGTCTGCAACTGGAACAGGCAATTCTTTGGGACTAGTCACTTCTTGAACAGATTTTGTGGGCTGTTCTTCACTTTTTATACAAGATTCTTGGGCGGTTGTATTTGTATCAGTTTGCCTGCATTCTGTGGTGTCAGACTTGTCCTTTGGAGATTCACATTGCTGGGTGCTACACTTTGCAGTGGTAGAATCATTTTCAGATTTTGTTGTTTCTCCCTCCTCCTGCTCTTCAACATTTTCTGATTTGATTTCAATTTTGGCACTCAAATTGGGTTCTTCTTGAGTGCTGTTCCCAGCAATGCTTGGTGTCACATTGGATCTACAAGTGCTGACACTCTCTCCCTTTGAAACTGGGGCCTTATCACTTTTCTCATGAAATGCCTCACACTCTTTGTCTTCTCTCCTGCTGGGACTCTGATCACTCTGATTTGGACTCTTCTCAGAAAGGGCATCCATTGACTCAATCCCAGAATCCTCTCCACCCTGTCCACTACCATGCTCACCCTTGGGTGTGCCATCAGGGCTCTCTACCTCACTTTTTGTTAATATAACACTGCCAGGAAAGTCTGGACCTTTAGCTTGCTCTAGAACCTTGGTTTGCTCAGGCTCTTGTTTAACACTAGTATCACAGCTGCTAGAAGAATTAACACTTGGTATGTGCGGCTCATTGCTCTCACTTTTCTCCTCGCATTTCACCTCCTGCTTCACCTTTTCTGGGGTCTCCATGACTTTGCTTTCCACTTTAACCCCACTGTTGCTGTTTGTACTCTCAGACTGAGAAGAGACAGGCACTGTAGTTGAACTGTCTTTAGAATTAAAGCGTCTCAAAAGATCATGCATACTGCTTTTGTGAGTGTCGTTCTTTTTACTAGAACATTGCGAACTCTTCAGTGCCTCCTTCAAAGCTTTTCTGTCATTCACATCTAAATGAGTCACTTTACCCACCTTAGTCACTTCACTTTTGTTTTTGTTTGGGCTTCTACTCTCACCATCACTCGACTTATTTATACTCAGAGTTTCGTTCTTTGTTAACCTGTGTGGATGGTTATCATCAGAGTTTGCTTAAACTGGCTAAAGTCCGTACACACTGGGATTGCTTGTGAATATCCAACTTTTTTGTGTCCTTTATCTGCAGGTCTTCATGACGGAGGGCAGGTAACTTCTCTGAGAGTTGAGATACTTTATTGATCATCACAGAAGG